GCCCCGCTCTTTCCCGGAGCCTGGGCGGAGAAGCAGGAAAACTTCCTGGCCTGGGCTCGGGGGCCCTTCTGCTTGCCAACCCTCCAGTCCCGCCTACCGGTGCCCAGCGCTTCCCCACCCCGCCCCCCGCTGCTCCCCCAGTGTCCGCCATGGCCAAAGCCTACGACCACCTCTTCAAGTTGCTGCTGATCGGGGACTCGGGGGTGGGCAAGACTTGTCTGATCATTCGCTTTGCAGAGGACAACTTCAACAACACTTACATCTCCACAATCGGTGAGCCCACGGGCCATGCCCCAGACCACCCCCACCCACCCACCCCCATCCCCGACTCCCCCGTGCCCCTCTCCCCGCAGCGTCCCGAACGGACGAACCACTTGTGGCTCGGGAATGAAGTTCCTCAGCTCCGGTCTCAACCCGTGCCGCCGGCCCATCCCCCTCCCCAGGGCTCTGAAATGGTACCCAGGTCGCTAATTTCTCGGAGACCTGGGCTCACCCTCCGCTGGCGGCCAGCCCCCTCGTTTTCTTGACACCATCTCCTTCCTTAGCCTCCCCAATTCTACGTGAACAACACGTCTCTCTCTCTCTCTCAGCTCTTGTTACCCCACCTACAACTCCCTTCATCCACTCTCCACATTTCCTGTGCCCCTTCCTCGCCTCACATCTGCTTCCCAAGGCCTTTGGAGTAGGCTGCCTCACTCACAGTTTCCCATCTTAACAGGCACGTCCCCGGCTCCCTACCCCTCCATGGAAGTTTGGGGAGGGTGTCCCCTAGGCTGTGACCTTGAATGTGCAGTCCGCATGGTGAGGAGGGTGGCCAGCTAAGGGAGTTTTGGGGTCTCTGAGTCAGCCTGGTGACTCAGCCCCTCCCTGGGGCCATAACAGGCCCGGGGGAGGGGACCCAAGTTTCCAACAAGAACAAAACTGCCTGCTGCCCTCCCCCTCATCCTTCATCTTCTCTGGCCTGGGAAACAAGCCGAGAGAAGACTCGGAGGAGAGTCTCCGGGCAATTCTGGTTAGAAAAGGGAAAGAAAAACACCCCTCTTTCCTAATTCAGTCCCTGGAGCATTCGGATTTAACCTCCGACTGGCGTGGTTCCCAGCTCGACCTCTAGTTAGTTCATAGCCTGGTGCTTGCTTCCATACGTTGTTTGCCTCCCTCTACCCTAGGACCACGAGGGTGGGGGGTAGACAGAGTTAGAGGTTCTATGAAAAAAGGGGGAGACCAAAAAAAGGAAAGGAAAAACCCTGCCATGGAGTCAATGCCGATTCATAGTGGCCCCACAGGACAGGGTAGAGCTGCCCCTGTGGGTTTCCCAGACTGTAACTCTTTACGGGAACAGAAAGCCTCCTCTTTCTCCCCAGGAGCGGTTAGTAGTTTTCAACTGTTGACCATGCAGTTAGTAGCCTGACACGTAACCACTACAAAGGGAAAAGGAATCTAATATTTTGGAGGAAACTGAATTGAAAAGGGTTGTCAAACGGCTGAGTGGACCC